TCTTCCCTGGTGGATGAGGCCAAATGTTCACCTAGTCCAGCACCCTGTTCTCACAGTGGCCAACCAGATGCAAGCAGGACCTGAGTGAGACAACCTACCTCTAGTTCCCAGCAACTGACATTAGAGGCATCCTACTTAACCATCATAGTTGTAGCTACAGATAGCCTTATTCTTCATGACTGCCTGTTTCAGGCAGGAATCCCTTGGACGTGGTCTCATTTTTTATTTTTTTTTAAAAGAAAGCTTCATCCAGAGGAATACTCTAGCACCCCATGGTGACCTACATGCCAGCCTCTCAGCATGACCTCTTTAAGTCCTTGGTTCTACTGTAGCAGCATCCACCTTTTCTCTAACAATACTCCATTTGGGCCACTCTATAGCAAATCAGGGAGTGCTGCCAGGCAGCTGATGGCAACTTCACTGCGCTTTGGTGCAATTGCACAGCTTTTGTTCTGTTGGGGAATCTGTGGCCCTCCAGTTGATGATGGACTCCAAGCCCAATTGTCCCCAGATGGGCCCAGCAACATCTGGAGGACCACTAGTTCCCTATCCCTATTATTTTGTATAATCAGCAAGCTTAGCTATCCCATGGCTTGCTCCTAACTCTAGGTTGTTTGTGAACAAGCTAAAAAACAGAAGTCCCAGTATCTTTAAGGGACTCCATTTTTTACATCCCTCTATCTGGAGAACTGTCCATTTATTCCTGCTCTGCACTTCCTGCAACATAATCAGCTCCTGATCCACAAAACAACCTCTCCTCTTATTCCTTGACTGTTAAGCTTACTCAGTAGTCTTTGGTGAGTTACTTTGTCAATGCTTTTTGAAAGTCCAAGTATACTATGTTAACCAAACCACCTCTCCCTATATGCTTGTTGACATTCTGAAATAACTCTTAAGATTTGTGAGGCAGGACTTGCCCTTGCAGAAGCCATGCTGTCTCTGCTTCAGTAAGGATTGTTCTTCTGTATGCTTATTTTACCTTACTCAAACTCACCAGTAATAATATCTAAGTTTAGAATAGTGTAAAGGCTAAAGGACTTCTGCCACTACCCTACTTCTCCACCCCCTTTCTCTTCCTATAATTTCAGTTCATTTCCCACTGTGGGCCTGCAGGCACAGTATTGCATATTTAAAATGGATTGTTTAGCACGTAGTGATTGTAGGCCCTTTATAAATAAACTAGAGGAAGATGGTGGTCTCACTATAGAGTTTCTCCCTCTCCCCCTTTCCCCACCCACCGTTTCTGGCACAGACTTTGGCCAAGATGCTGTTGGGATGAGAAAACATTGAGGGCAGTTTACGGCCTCAAGTGCCTCTTGGAAGGCACAAGAGTTGAGAGCTCAGCTCTTCCTCATCACTAGGCAAACAGGCCCTGTACTGTAGGGTACCTTGGGGGAATGAAAAGCATCTTAAAAATGTATAGACCAATGTACAGACAGGGATTGCAATCTGGGTTATAATTAATGACTTCAATGCCTATCCAAGCAAAGACAACCGTATTTCATGCTTCAAGGCTCAAGCTGGTTGCCTGTGAGATATTGGGGGCAGGGGATTTGGAAAGAAGAGAACACACACACCCTTCCCATCTCTCCTTGCTGAGCCAGGTGCAGATGTGTTGTGTTAGAGAATCAGTTTTGCCATCCTGAGCACTTCAGAGATTGGCCAGTTTTGCTCAGAGGAGGGAATTCTTGGCTGCATGGATCACTGGTGCTGCACTTGGCAAATTCGGCATTACTTAACAAACACTTGGCTTTTCTGCTCTGTCCATGACTTTGCTAAATGAGGTCCTTTTAATCTAACCTCTGGGAGCAGACTAATTCTGCCTCCTTCACTTGAAGTTGAAGTAAACAGGAATACCCATGCCAAGTAATTTATCCGGATGCTGTAGGCATTGTTGTGTTACCGGAGCCTCGTTTCCAAGCTGGAGTGCTTAAGTTTTGGAATGTTGCTCCAACTTTGATTAAAATAAGCTTCAAACAAGGGAAAGGAGTAGACAGGAGAGGGATGGCTTTCTTTCAGTGGAAGACTATGTGAATGACTTATATTTAAAATAAACTTTAAAAGAGAGTAACATATTGCTTGGCTAAAATGTATGGATAAGAGTAGCTCAATGTCATGCAGCAAAAAGGGCACTGCAGCTAGGATGTGCCACATTAACGAATTTCATTGCAGGAAAGTCTGACAGTGTGTCTGGACACAGTTTACAAGTCTCTGAACAGATGAATTATCAAATATGTAAATTGGCCTTGCAGCCGAACTTTGCAGCTCAGGATGCTCCTGCTCAGGGCTCCAGCCAGTCATGTTCCCTTTCAGCTCCATTTTGTTCCCATGGTTTTCCACTCCACACAAACGCTTCCATCAAGTGATCATGTTCAGTTTTCACTGGGCTGTTTTGGAATGTACCCCTTCTCATGTCTCCACTTTAATGTCTGCCTGCTGATATCTCTTCTGCATGGGTGGCGCTGTTATGACCACATAACTATCCACACTCCGGGAGGGTGGTTTTGCTATTGGCATACAGTGTAATGCATATTACATGTATTCACACTATGGAAAATAAACAGAAGTTGTCAGTTGCCATAGATTGAAGATCAGGTTAAGTTTGCTTCAGTGTGTGTGGACCCAATGAATTCCTCATACAGAGATCATGTAAACCCCCAAAATCAGCTGACCCCAGGCTGATGTCCTCAAGTGTTTCTTGATGACAAGACTTGCAAAAGCCCAGGGGCATAACATAGGGAGGGCTAGGGGGGCTGTGGCCTTGGGCACAGATTTTTGAAGGAGCACAAGGGTGCACAACCAGCTGCCCCCATAACAGGCTCCCTCATCAAGGCTGCAGATACAAGGAGGCAAGCCAAACCATGCCTGGCCTGGGCCGGGCCTTCAAGGTGGCATCTCCTTCTCCTTGTGAGCAGCGAAGCGATGCTCAAAGGCACCCCATCCTTGGGCCACTCAGGAGGGAGGGGGAGGGCACCACAGCAGCTGCCACTGCCCACCAAAGAGAGGCAAGAGGCTCTGTCAGCCTCCTCCTCCTTCGCGAATGGGGCAGCACAGCCCTCAGGTCTGCCCTTCTCACGGGGTGGTTTCAAGCCTCTTTCTCCCTCCCTTCATTTTGCCTCATTCTGCACACACTGCCCGGTCTCCTTCATCTCCTGTCAGACTGCTGCAACTCAGTGGTGAGGTCTTGCACAGCCAACCTCCCTCTGGCACCCTGACCCTGGCAACCTGTGCTACTCCACTGTATTAGCCCCAGCCAGCATGACCAATGGTCAGGGACAGTGGGAGTTGTGACCCAATAAGATCTCGATGGCCCCATGTTAGGGAAGGCTGCATTGGAAGGGTGCAACGCTGATTGGTTGGGTGTAGGAAGGAATCTGGTTATGAATCGTGCATATCACAGACCTTGAAAATCTTGAGTTGTTGCTCCGGTTGACAAATAGAGACATTTGATGCAATGACAGGTGATATAGTGTGCCATATTTCTCTTTCTATTGCTGCTTAAATTGTATATTTAGTGAATTATTTTTGATTGATGATAGCTTTGGAGGTACTCACCAGGGGGAGAAAAAAGATGGCATATTTTAACTATATTAATGGTTTGAGACCTAAGCCGAGCACCATATATTTTTGTAATCCGTCAGGAGCAAAGCTGCAATTTATACAAATGGATTCTGTCTATCTTTAGCCTCAGCAAGTCTGACAAAGAGATGTCACTGGGAGTAATGTTTCTCATCATTCATAGATGCAGAAGTCAGAGGCTACATTCCTTTGATACGAAATCGCTTTGGAGTTTCTTGATTCCTAGAATAATAAAAATAATGTTGATAATAACAATAACAACAATATCAGTATTTGTTGCCATCAGTTGCCTACGTTGTTTTTCAAGGCAACAGCAAAGCAAAACCCCACCATCTGTTTTTCAAAAGAGTAAGACAATCCCCAACCATGTCAATTTGCAAACAGCAGGGGCTGTGCCAATTAAAGGCTGAAAAGCAGGGCAAGGCTTTTGCCTGCAAAGGTTCTGAACTCCTCAGCCTAAAACCTGCAACACTGAAATGACGGCCTGACAGTCCCGTCAAAGGGAGAGATACTTGTGGCACTTAGCCGTATGGCGTGTTAGTTCAGTTCCCTTTATGGTACTTTGGTAATGAGGTGTGAAAACTCTACAGAGAAGTGCTGAAGATGAGGCTTGGGTTTTGTTTTTGTTTTTACTTTGCAGAAATGATAAAATAAAATTCTTCTTGTTTGCATCAGTCTGAGAAGTGCTCAGCCCCAAGGATCAATGGAGTTTGCACCCGTCAGAAATTAGGGCACAACCGACCCAGCAGCAGAATACGTTTCACACTGCTGCATATAAGAGTCTATGTGTGTGCATGCCCAGCAACCAGATATCTTTCATTGCCAGCTTGGAAGGTGCCAGTTGCAGAAAGAAGGGACCCAGATTCTGCTTGTACATTCTGCTTGCTGACAGATGTAATATGAATAGATCCTGTGTGTGTGTGTGTGTGTGTGTGTGTGTGTGTGTGTGTGTATGACTTCATGGATAGTATGTTGTCTTGGCTACAAACATTAACATCTGCAGGGAGGGGGCATAGCTGAGGGGTAGGGCATACACTTTGCATACAGAACCACCCATATTTAAGGTTCCCAAAATTTACACAGACAACTCCCCCACTTGTGCGCGGTCCAGTCACACGCAACCATGTATACGTGCAGCACCAGAAAATGGCAGTTGCAGGTGGTGGAGTGGCGCTGCAGTGCTAACCTGGCCCCCCAGCAGTAGAGTTGCTACTGCTTACCAGGAGGGAGAGTGGAAGGGGCAAGGCAGTCAGGAGACTGGCACCATGCAAATGCACCAGCAGAAGCCGCGACAATTAAACTGCCCTGAAACTGATCAAAGTTTGTAGTGCAGCTATACCTATTCAGTTCTTCAGTGTCTCTCAAGCATCCTCCCCCCCCCCCCGGCTTGGTTTTACAAGGGGCAGCACTCTTGAGATACTGGTTAGCTCAGTTGGTTAGAGTGTGGTACTGATATTGCCAAGGCCGTGGGTTCAATCCCCATTGAGGTCCCTTCCAACTCTACTATTCTATGATTTTATGAGACAAAAGAGAAGGAAAGTGATAGCCAGTTCCACCCACTGAACTGGTTGTAAGAAAGAAGGAAGGCTGGCTGAGGGGAAACCGAGGTTGCTGAGGCAGTGCCCTCCTGGGCCACCCTCCACTATCAGCATGCATTGATTTCTAGAACACCATAGCAATGTGTTGTGGTGCTTTCTCTCCCCCTGCCCCCCGTCTTGTTATAAAATACCACATTCCTACTGGGGAAATTCTTTTGAGTCTTGTTTAAGAGAGTATCATTGCCCCGATACCTGTTGAGATGCAGATTAGAGACAAGCTTACTCAGACATCGCGCACTCTATCTGGAAGAAACCAACCAAGCCCGCAAGCAGCTTTCTTTGAACAGAAAGCCTTAGCTGGATGTTCTTTGATTAAAATAACTCTTGACACTGCGAGGAAGGCAGAAGACAGGGGTGAGACACTTCTCCTCCAAGAGCACCAGCCCTGCCCTTAAGGGGAAGCCCAAGTGGCAGATCATGTATTCTGCTTGATCCCAGGAATCCTCAAGGATTTCATATGGTCTACATGTTTAAGTTACTTGATCTAATTTGCAGTTCCTGGGCCAGAACATAGACCAGAACAAGGTAATCCTTCAGTTTTCCCACTTCTCTAAATTTTCCAGCTTCTTTTTTGTTGTTGTTGCAAAAAAACAGTTTTAGGTTAATATGCATGGGGTGTGAAGAAATAAATACATACTAGGGGACAAAATGCATGTGTGTGTGTTGTGTATGTGAACATACATGCACACAATTTTTGGACGAAAAAAGTTGCAGATTGATGCAGACACTGCATTGCGACAGACGTGTGAATGAAGATATGTGAAAGGGAAAGGAACTGAAGAAGAAGAAGAAGAAGAAGAAGAAGAAGAAGAAGAAGAAGAAGAGTAGTAGTAGTAGTTTGGATTTGATATCCCGCTTTATCACTACCGTAAGGAGTCTCAAAGTGGCTGACATTCTCCTTTCCCTTCCTCCCCCACAACAAACACTCTGTGAGGTGAGTGGGGCTGAGAGACTTCAGAGAAGTGTGACTGGCCCAAGGTCACCCAGCAGCTGCATGTGGAGGAGCGGGGAATCGAACCCGGTTCACCAGATTACGAGTCCTCTGCTCTTAACTACTACACCACACTGGTTCAGTCTTTCCATCACTGCTCCATATAGTAAGGTTTCTTGGGGCAACCCCCCCCCCCAACTCCTCATGGCGGGTATGCTGTTTAAAATATACCATTATCAGTGCACCCAAGCTGTATAGGAGTTTTTGTACATTTTTATTGGGCCAGAAATAGGAGTCACAGTTGTCACCTATTCAGCCTTTTAAAGAAGCCCACGGCTTCTTTAGTCACGGGCGGGGGGGCGCAATGCTAGCCTGCTGAAGACAAGAAGAGGTAGAGTGGAGTGCTCCATCTTTCCATCAGCAGCCCACTGAATTTTACATTGAACTTGCCTAAGGGTTTCTGTCCTCTGGTAGATTTTTGGCTCCCATGCTGGGCACACAGGTGGGTTAGATCCTTCTATCCCTGCTCTGCCATTCCTCTTAGTCACCTTCATGGAATTCCTTGTGCCTATGGCTGGGTAACACTATGTTGCTTCATCTTTTATGTGCAAAGCTGGTCATCATCTACATCTACTCCAGTGTTTCACAGGTGGAAACAGAGACCTGCTTGTAACTAATGGTGAGCAAATCTGTTAATTCCGGTTTCTCCTGGTTTCTCATTTTTAAAACTCTTGAATACATTTCTCCTCATTCCACATACAGCTAACATACACATTTTTGTAGGCAAATTTGCCTAATATTTCTGCAAACAATTTCCCTTGAGATAATGCATCTTTGTATGTTTTCTCCAAGGTATGCATTCTTATGCACACTTCCAGCTAATATGTGCACATTATTTGGCTGGAGAACCGCATTGCAAAACTCAGAGAAGTGTAAATGTGAATGGGTATCTGTGTTCCAGGAAGTGAGCATTAGGTAGATTTCCCCTCAGATGTAAACTGAACTGAATTTCTCCCCCATCCATAATTGCAACACCCATATTCTCATACAAAATAACACCATCTGATTGCCCAGCCCAGCCCTGACAAACATTAGTTACATCCATGTTTATGGGCTGCAGTGTGTTTATTTTATTATGCAGTCAGTTTATTTATTTAAAAGTTCATCCTAAAGAAAAAGGGTGGATTTTCTTGCTTTGCTGGAGGTCCCCCTCCCTGCAAAGTACCTTCATCTGGTTTGGCATGTACAAAGAATTGCTCTCTGAAGGCTTAAGCCCTAATGAGAAGTGCTTATGGGAGTGTTTTAATCTGACTTTGTTTGGGATTTAGAGAGTGAGCAACCTGCTGCTTTGGTTGAGCTGAGCTGAGCTTATCCAAAGAATGCAACACGGAGCTGATATAGCTTATCAAGCGCCCAAGTCTCAACTTTGTGGTTTTTGTTTGCTCTAGCCTATAACACACCCGCAGAGTGCAGAGAGCATGAATAACACCAGCTGCAAATTTGGAATGGTATTCCAATCTAAATGTGCTTTCAGGAGCCTTAGACCAGAATTATGGATAGATGGGAGTATTGTTCATTGCAGAGTTGGTTTCAGAAGTTGACTTTCTGGGAACCTGCTGCAGCTCCAAAGGGGGGGCTCATTCTGTCCCTAGAGCACTGTCCTCCTGGCTGCTGTATAGAGGAAGGTGCCTTATACAGAGTGAGATCATTGGTTCATTTAGCTCACCACTGCCTACTCTGCCCAGCAGTGGCTCTCCAGGGTTTCAGGTAGAGTACATTTCCAACCCTACTTGGAGATGTCAGGGATTGAACCTGAGACCTTCTGCATGAAAAGCAGATACCGTACCACTGAGCTACAGCTCATCGTTACAAAAGTCTTCTTTACAGACAAGTGTGAGAGGGCTTTCTCTTGTGTCATTCCTATATTGTGGAATGCATTCCCTGTGGAGCTATGGTCCAGTTCCCACCCTCTTTTTCTCAGCTTTTAGAAAAGGTGTCAAAACACACACACACTTAAAGTCCTTTAAAATAAGTATAGTGCTATTGCTGCTTGTGCTAATGTTTCTAACCATGCTTTATTGCCTTGATGTTTATAGGACACCCTTTTTTTAGTGTTGTGATGCATACTTTCTCGATTGGTTTGCAGAAAGTTGGTTTCAAAGTTTCAATGCATGCATAAATGCATAATGTATGGGCAGGCAAAAAGCTCAGAAAAGGGGGGGGTGGAGAGAGGGAGGGAGGGGCTTAATCAGCCAGGGATCCATTGGCTCATGAGACAACTGCACTGCCATCATGTGATGGCATGGGGCACAATTCAAGCTGGTGCAGTGATCAGCCTGCACTTCGGCACCTCCCCCATCTCTGTTAAGCCCCAGGAGGCAACAGCTGGGGTTAGGATTGCACCCTAAGACTTCAAAATCCACTCATAATTGTCATTTATGTAAGAGGTGCCTGTAAGAAGTGGTCTTATTGGTCATAGAGTTTTAATTGAATGCAGATTTTCCATGCTCTAGTTGTCAGGTTGGCGTGAATGATAGTCTTCATTTGCATGCAAAGTCTCCTGCTCTCCCTTCAAGATGGATGGTGGACCCTTGCTTCATCTGTCACCACTTTGCTTTGTTTTTTCCCCTTTTTAGTAAGATGAAAAGAATTTGGGGAGGGGGGAATTAAGAATATATATCCTTGAAATGAAGGATAACATCAAAACAGGTTGCTCAACACAAAGTCCAAAGTGTTTAGAGTAGAGATGAAATGGTGCGTCTACTGTGTAAAACATCTTTTTAGTTCATTAACTGAAGTGAAATTTTGATTCTGACATCAATGAATCATTTTTACAGTGAAAAAGTAGAATCTACGTGTGTGTGTGTGTGTGTGTGTGTGTGTGTGTGTGTACAACAGTTTAGGAGAACTTAATCATGTCTGATGTAAGCTTCCTGTATGTTTTTTTGCCAGACAAGATCAGAACCTAAGCTAATCTATACAATTAAACCCATGTTTAAACACTTTTAATTAATTCCCTTTGGTTTCACAGCGAAAGAAGCTGCAATCCTTAAAACAATAATTACTTCATAGGAATGTACTGCATGCATCACCCCTCAAAAAAGAAAAGAAAAAAGAATAATAATAAATATTGTTGATCGCTTCAGAATGCCTCATGGAAGCTGAACCAGGGAGGTGATTAATGCCTCCTTGCAAGAGAAGGTGGTCCGTGCCTGCTTGAAAGAGGCAGTGGTAAGACCGCTCCTTAAGAAACCTTCCCTGGACTCAGAATACCAAAGTAACTACCAGCCAGTTGCTAATCTCCCCTTCTTGGGCAAGGTTCTTGAGCTGGTGGTCATGGACCAGATCCAGGTGCCCTTGGAGGAAACAGATTTTCTAGATCCATTTCAACTGGGGTTTAGGCCCAGTTTTGGCATGGAAACTGCTCTAGTCACCCTGTGTGATGACTTCTTTCAGGAGAGAGACAGAGGAAATGTGTCCCTGTTAATTCTTCTTGATCTCTCATTGGCCTTTGATTCTTTCAACCATGGTATCCTTCTGCAGCAGTCTGAGTTAGGGGTGGGTGGTACCACTTTGTGGTGGTTCCAGTCCTCCTTGGATGGTCGTTTTCAGAGGATGATGTTTAGAGGGTCAACCCTGTGGAACCTTCAATGTGGGGTTCAATTCTATCCCCCATGCTGTTTAGCATCTACATGAAACCATTGAGGGGGTCACCCAGAGTTTTGGAGTACATTGTCAGCAATATGCTGAAGACTCACAGCTCTGCTTCCCCAACTGCAAATGTGTCACTAGAACTGCTGGACTGATCTGCTGGTCTTGCTTCAGTAATGGACTGAATAAGAGCCAGTAAACTTAAGCTCAATCCAGATAAGATTGGCGCACTGTTAGTGGGGGGTTCCCTAAACCGGATGGATGTGAAGTTGCCTGCTTTTGATAGGGTTATATTCCTTCCCAAGAAGCTAGTGGGTACTACTGGATCCACTGCTGTTGCTTGAGGCTCAGGTGGCCTCAGTGGGAGTGCCTTCCATCAACTTTGGCTGGTGGCCCAAGCATATCCCTATCTGGATTTCTGTTGTCTGCACTCCGGCAACCTTCAGCATGTTGTGTGTTGTGTGGAGGGCTGACTTGGAAGATGGTTTGGAAACATCAGCTAGGGTGGAATTCAGCAGCCAGGTTGCTCCCTGGGGCAAGATGGTTTGAGCATATAACACTAATATTACACTGTTCCTGAAGAGGAGAGATGGGGGATAAAAAGGAAGAACATGAATGAAAAGGATCCCAGAGCAGCTGTACCTCAATGGCAATACAGAGGAATTTTGAGGGGAAATTTAAGCTTGACTTCTCCAATTACATCAGGGGCAGGGAACCTTTTTCCCCCCAATCCAAGGGCTGCATTCCACTGTGTGCAACCTTCTGGAGACCACATGCAAGTAACAGGCACAGCCAGAGACAGAGTGTTAGAGGCTGCATACCAGCCATGCAAAAGTAAGTGGTTTTTACACACATACACCCTTTCATCCAGGCGGGCAAGAGGCATTATCATAATTTAAGGATACAATCTAGCCAGCCAGAAACACACTGAGACCACAAACAAGACTGGAGAGGGGTACAGGCTGGGGAGGTGGAACTTTGGAGGGCTGGTGGTGGAGAGCATGGCTTGGAGACAGTCCCAAGGGCCTTATAGTGGTCTGGAAGGTGGCATTTGAGCCTCCCTGACCTACATACAAGCCACAGGAAAGGGTGAAAAATGTTTGTCCTCAAATGATAGTGGTTTTTTTCTGCATGAGTCAATAGAAATACGCAATTCTATGCAATTAAGCCAGGAGGAGCAGGCTGTTCACCCCCCCACACACATTGTTCTAAACCAAAGATGAGGAGTATTGCAAACCCAATGCAGCAGTGAAAGCTAAGAAAGATGCAAGTTTTGCTTCAAGTTACAACAATAAAATATAGTGTTTTCTGGAAAGCGCATGAGAGGACAGTGCTGTTGTGCTCCTGTCTGGATTGCAAGCTTTTCATAGGTATCTAGAGGGCTACTTCTTACAATCTTATGTTCATAAGAAGCAGAATCAGTCTAGGAATCCCTTACTGACAAACTGATGCGTAGCTAATAACATAAGAAGAACCTATTTTTCTCTGGGCATTAGCCCGTCTAGTTCAGCATCCTGTTCTTACAGTAGCCAACCAGATGCCTGATGTGTGTACCCAGTCCCCACACAGGGAAGGGGGGAAACATAGCCAATCTAGGAGATCCCCTGCATTTATTTATTTGCTCAGCAACATAGCAGGAGATTTTCAGCCAAGCTGCCTCTCCAACACAAAGAGAAGAAACTGAAAGTTTAATGCAAAGTTAGCAAGACGTGCTGGAACAGGGAATCTAAAATCGAGAATCATTATGCTCTCCGGTTGTTGCCGACAAGTGATGGATTTCCTACTTGAATAAAAAAATTCAAATAGAACAGAACTATGTCACAGGATAATGATGTCTCCCTTGCTCCCAGCTGAATGCTGAGACATTTTATGGAAAATAAGTGTGAGATGTTTATTTTCAAAGCCGGAGACATTTATCCTCTGACAGCACTGTGTTATAGTGACTTTATTTCAGCTCTTTCAAATGACGGATGCAGGCGTAATCATTTTGTCAGGTTGATATTGCTGTGTTAGTAAAGGAAAGGCAGTTCAATCTCCTGAATGCCAAATTGCTACCAGATTAGTCAGAAATGCAACAATGGTGCCTTTTGTTTTTGTTTTTTTGTGTGTTTCCCAAATGAACCACTTTGGATGACTCTTACATTTTTCCATATTAATTTCCATGCAGGAGTCTCAAATTTTAAAATAAATTTAAACGTCAAAGTGGTGTTGAGGTTCCAGGGGTTCAGACAAATATCCTTCGAATGAGGTGACCGTGGGGGGGGGGGGGCAGATTGTGGAGTTTGTGTGATATATGGTTTCACTGATATCTATTATCGATCAGGGTTCAAAATTAGCATGGGGCCAGGTGCATTTTGCGCCTAAAGATTCTTCATTTGCGAGCACCTTAAAAAGTCTGGGTGCCATTTTTTTATATATATTTTTGCGCCTGGCTGACACTCAAGGATGACTGAAATGAATGTGCTTTGAAGCCTTGAAGTACATCATAAGGATAGCCAATATGTTAAGAAGTCTAACAATAAAGAGAAGAGTGTTTTGAAAACTGAAGCATGGTGCCAATAATTTTTATTGTAAACACCAAATTACACATGTATTAATAATTTGTGCTAAAATGTGATATTAATAATGGGTCACTTACGTGAATTGTGTATTAATTCATGCCTATCAAAATAATAAATAAAAAGTGTTGCTGACCCCCCCCCCCCATTGGTGACCAGACATTCTGTCTTGAGGCCCATAAACCAGGTCCCTGAAGCCATTTGGCTCCTAACTTTTCTATCCCACTTTTCTAACTCTACTCTCTATCATCTATCTATATATCATCTATCATCATCATCTACCTATCTACCTACTACCTACCTACCTACCTATCTATTATCTATCTAATCATCTATCATCTACCTATCTACCTCTCTACCTACCTACCTATCTAGCTAATCTAATCATCTATCATCTATTGGTTGAGCACAGATGGAGACACATCATAGCTCCAAATTAACTGCTCCCGGTCAGATTCATAGGGAACATGCTAGCATCATCCAGTTCTTGCAGAGAACCAGTATAGCCTCCTCTCTGTCTCTCATGGTATATTCCCAAAGCTACACAACCAAAAAACAAATTTGCAGAGAGCAGTGACAGTCAGTGGGGAAGGAAAGGGATCCTCCTCCCAGAGAGAAATCTCCAGCCATTTGCCTACTCTGTGCTAAGTC